CACGAAAACACCTTGTACACCTTAGTCCACGCTTCAACACTTTGTTTCACACGCAGAGGCCAAGGTAAACCTGACATTGTTATTATCAACAAAGCTATCAGTCACCTTCATCACTTCATATCTCCCGGTCCCCTTTCAGAATCGGATCACATCCCTGTCACCCTTCCCATTTTCTTCAGATCCCATACTCATTCCATCATCTCCACTCCAGCATATTCACAAGCAGAGTGGGACATGTTCACATGACTTCTCACACAGTTATAACAACAGACCTGTTTCAAACACAGACACACAACTTGAACGAATACAGCATTCCATTACACAAGCTGCTGTGAAAGCAGTGGCCAAAAGACACTACGTGACACACTATTCCTTTAGCCCATCCGAAAGAACGAAGAGATTCCTCCTATACTACCGTCACCACTATGCTAACGCTAACCACTAAGTGGCGCCAGCCACTAGATGAATCCAAAATCAACTATACAGTAGCACTAGACATTGGAAATATAAACACATATGCAGTATAATGTGATCCTTTATTGGCAACGTTTCGCCCACACAGTGGGCTTTTTCAAGTCACAAACAGATCTACCTGGGGTGGAAGGTACGCGAGTATTTATAGCCAGGAATGTCTGACTATAAATACTCGCGTACCTTCCACCCCAGGTAGATCTGCTTGTGACTTGAAAAAGCCCATTGTGTGGGCGAAACGTTGTCAATAAAGGATCACATTATACTGCATATGTGTTTGTATTTCCATTGTGTCGGTATTTTATACCATTTATTTCCACCACTAGACACTGCTGGTACTTTCGGCCGAGTATGGCACCATGGACTCTGGTAAAACTGCAAGTGCTAGGAGTCACTGGCATTATGCCACCTTAGTGAATACCTTCAAAGCAGATCTCTAAGAGTAGTTCTCAATGGGACAGAGTTAACAAGACACTCTATATGTGTAAGTGTTCCACAAGGAAGTGTGCTTGGGCCATTGTTATGGAATGTCTGTTGCAATGACCTTCAACTCATCCCAGAATCGTATGTATATGCTGACAACTGGACTCCGACATTTACTTATCCAAAGGAGGAAATGCCAGCAGTTCTTAATTATATCAATCACCAGATTGCAGCTATATCAACCTGGGAAAAACGATTGTAGGTTACATTTGCTTCTGACAAAACTCAAATGATAATGGTCTCTAGACACTTTGATGGTAATGCTGGAGTAGTGGTAAGAATGAATGGGAGAGTTTTGGAACTTGGGATGAGGCTGATATCCTTGAGGTGAAATTTGACTCCAAATATGCTATGAAGAACCACGTAGTAAATCTGGCAAACAAGGCGGCCTGGAAGCTTACAGCGCTTAGACGTATCTTATACCTGCTCAACAGTAGAGGTTGCAAGACTATATACAAGGCACAAGTGCACTCACACCTTGAGTATGCTCTACTTTCTTGGATTTTTAGCTCCCGTCTCACCTACAACACCGGAGGTATATAGGTGACCGTACCGTTATGTACTGTAATCTACCTTTCTTAAGAACATCACTTCATTTGAGATAATTCATTCCTGGGACATGTTTCCACAGCATAATGACATCGAGGAAATGGAAAGACTTTTAAATGGGCTGAGGTAGGTAACAACTCTTTGCTTGTATATAAAGGTAGGGATTCTTCACCTAATCCTGTAAAACCATTGTGTAAATAAGAGAGAGAGCGTAAGTATTTAGCTAGTGATCTGCAGTTAATCGCGTAGGCATCTTGCTGCTAGGCTGAGTGGTCCTGCGTTTCTAGTGACCCATAAGAATAGCAATGACTTATTCTTTCGTATTAAGAAGGAAAATCATTGCGTTCTTATATACATAACAAACTTTCTAAACGATGTTAGTTTGATTTCCCAGAGAAAAATCTAAAAAGTCTCTTCTGACTAACTTTAACTTATTAATTATGGAATATCTTATATATATATATAATTTTATATATATATTATTATATATATATATATATATATATATATTATATATATTATATTATATACATATACATATATATATATATATATATATATATATATATATATATATATATATATGTATAATATATATATATATATATATATATATATATATATATGTATATATATATATATATATATTATATATATGTATATATATATTATATATATATATATAATATATATATATATATATATATATATATATATATATATATATATATATATATATGTATATATATATATATATATATATATATATATATATATATATACATACATATACATTATATATATATATATTTGTTATATATATATATAAAATTTATATATATATTATATATATATATATAATATATATATATATATATATATATATATATATATATATATATATATATTTTATAATATATATATATATATATATATATATATATATATATATATATATATATATATATATATATATATACATGTACAAGCATATATATACACACCCCTCTGGGTTTTCTTCTATTTTCTTTCTAGTTCTTGTTCTTGATTATTTCCTCTTATCTCCATGGGGAAGTGGAACAGAATTCTTCCTCCGTAAGCCATGCGTGTTGTAAGAGGCGACTAAAATGCCGGGAGCAAGGGGCTAGTAACCCCTTCTCCTGTATATATTACTAAATTTGAAAAGAGAAACTTTTTTTTTTTGGGGGGCCACCCTGCCTAGGTGGGATACGGCCGGTTTATTGAAAAAAAAATATACATACATTTTATATTATATATATATATATATATATATATATAATATATATATATATATATATATATATATATAATATATATATATATATATATATATATATATCAATGACTGCGACTGGTCTGGAATCAAACCCCTGATCCTTTAGCACGCCTCTTGAGAGACCCGTCAATATTCCAAGACACCTTAGTCCACTCGGCCATCAGTAATTCAAACATCAGGTCACTCCTGAAGCGAACACATACGTGTCCGTGGAAGCTACAGGATTAATTTAATTTTCCTCCAGTTTGGAATACCAGTTTTCACAAGCAGTATACATATTGATGCATCCACGAATGATGGCTGAGTGTACTAAAGGTATCTTGGAATATTAGAGAGCTTCTCAAGAGGCGTGCTAAAGCATCGGGAAGTCGATTCCCGTCCTGTATTGTTAATTCCTTAAGCCCACTCTTTCGTTGAGTTTTAAATAATTTTATTCTACTTTTTAGGCCCCATTTCTCATGTTTCATTTATATTATTTTTTGGGTATCAA